TCCCTTATATTCAGCCCAAATTCAATTTCCATTAAATTCTACTCACTTTGTCCCAAATCTGTCCTTTATATCTGTAATAAATACAATATATCTAACTTAAAGATAACTTCATGTTCTCTCTATTATTTCTCTTCTCCAGGCCAAACATACTCAATTGCTTTAAAAAGTTCCTGACCAGGCATATTGCTCCTTCACCATTTTAGTTGCTGACTACCTCCTGACCTGGTTTTTATATGCAAATCTGTTCCCTGTGCCTTTTAACGTGGACCTGCAGAACTGAATAGATGTAGGCAATCTGACCATTACAGAGTCCAACAGGACTATTATCTCCCTTTGTTCTGGACAGTCTACTTCCAAAAGCACAATCCAACATCTGCACATCATTCTGTAGACACACACTGAGCTATAGGTACAACCCTCCCCTACTTTGTTCTATCCGCCCAATTAGCTCGCTCCCCTGTTCTGTATTTGTGCATTAGTTGGGGAAATCTAAAATCAGGACTTTTATTCACTGCCCTGTTAGATTTTATGTTCAGGCAAGGGCTATAGACAGGCCAGGAACAAGCATGCTATACTACTAACTAGTTCCCCTCCCGCATCCCCCAACCCACCCCACCCCCCACTACTTATGAACATTTAGGGAGAAGAGAACTCCATTTCAGGAACATTACTCATATGCTTTCACTGCCTCTGTAGAAACGCTGAATAGGGCCATCAACTTGGAAAATCTATTGTCTTTGAGTCTCTGTCTCCTTTAAACATTCTTCCTGGTTGACCGAGTGTCATTTATCCATGGAGCACCCCTCCCGTCACTACCAAGAAGTCAAAACCTACATTCAACTTATTGCACAAACTCAATTATGTTCTCAACAAAATAATTAGGCTTCCTTCCCTATTTGAACACAATGCTGCATCCCTCTGAAGATATCAGAGTGCTAAAGAGAAATCTTTACAAAAGAAATTTTTATGCAGCCTTGAATGGACTTCCACAGGTCTTGTCAGTTTCCGCAGCCACACCAGCTTTGACAACAGCCAAGTCAGGTGGCAAGAATACTAACCAGAGCCTGGCCAGGTGGTTAAAGCGTGGTCTCATACACCGAAAGCTTGTGGTTCGATTCCCAGGCTGGGTACGTACCTCGGTTGTGGGTTGGATCCCCGGTCAGAGTGAATAAGGGAGGCAGCTGATGGATGTTTCTCTCTCACATCCATGTTTCTCTCTCTCTCTCTCTCTCTCTCTCTCTCTCTCTCTCTCTCTCTGCCTGCCTCTCTCTAAAATCAATAAAAACATATCCTCAGGTGAGGATTTAAACAGAAAAAAAGAATACTAACCAGAGCATTAACCCCTTTGACAGCAGCACTCACAGACCAACCTACATGCACAATAACAGCAATGTCCCTTCCCTGCTGCCTTCCACAAAATCTTAAATTCAAACTTGCAGAGCGCACTATGTTCTTTTAAGTTTTAACGAAGAAGAGAAGGGAGTAAAATGATCTCAAAGGGAGACAATGAAGGTCATCTCCCAATAAAAAAGGCAGAGCAGCTTGTCCCAGAATATTTCCCTGCACATATTTTTACACTGCTGCTCCACATCTAAACTTTGTCTTTTAATGCAAAAAATTCTAAAAAGGTCAAGTTCAAGTTGGGTACTCAAAGACAAAACAAAATAATTATCTGATGAATTCAATTAGCTATCCTACATAATTAAGACTCCCTGAACTTTTTTCAGGTAGTTTTTCTGAAGGTCATTCTCTGCATAATTTCCAAAACTTTCCATTTCCTTTTAGCTGAGAAATGTGTTATTTTTTAAAAGAAACTTATGGATGTAATATCAAAGATTTTCCTTACATTGCTTTGAGGGAGGGGAGAACTTTTACTGCTGCCTTTTAATTTTCCCCCACTGTAAGGGTTGTGCTTAAATAGCCTATTAAACTATTTATTATATGTGGGAAGGGCGCTGGATGAATGATTGTTTCCACATTGCTATGAGTCGATCATAAATCTAAAAGTTAACAAGAAAAAGTAAATCAACTATAAACAACCGAGTCATGTTAAAAGAGTCAAAATGATATTTCACTTGCTAGTTATGGGTGTGTTGATCTGATCCTACACTTTGGGAAATAGTGAAGTTAATACTGTGAAACAATAATGAGGGCTGTTGATTTCATCACTTACTAAACATTTTAGTATAAACCTTAAATTTGGCTGTCCAACCTGAAACATAATATGAGATTATTTGGACAGTTCATTTTCCTCCTTTTGTACAATGGAAAAAGTTTAAATGCTTGGGCATAAAAAGCGTTCTTATTATTAAAAAGAGAAAAAACCGGGGGGATCTAGTAAATGCCTTAAATAAAAATGATTACTGTGCAGACATAAGCCTTATTAACTTCTCCTTGGCATCATGGTTATTTATGTAAAAGTCTTTATTGACAACATAAATCCACCATTTCATTATTATTTGCTGCCAATACAATGAACATTATAAGCAAGAAAATAAGGAATTCATTTCAGATTTATAACTAATGAGACACCAAAGGTTATTTAAAAACAGTTGTGGCATCTCTAAACTGCTTTAAAATGCAACTTTAGAAATAAAAACAAACCCTGTGCAGCATTCTCTATCCTCAATCTCAGCTGCTTTATTAAATAAAAAAAAAAGATAAACAAGAGACTTATAAGCCCCCAGAGATCGACACAATTTACAACAGTTACACCGAAAGCATAAAGTGGGGAGAACTGAGAAGCAGATGGAAGAAAATCAAACTTGCTTGAAGTAAATGTTCAAGCCATTGAGAAGATGAAGTTATCTAGGAACTGTCTTTTGAACGGTTTCTATGTGCTCTTTTTATTAAACAGGCCTGGGCACTAGAGTACTTTCATGATTTAAAGACTCTTATTAGTGCTAACCGGTTTGGCTCAGTGGATGGAGCGCCGGCCTGTGGACTGAAAGGTCCCAGGTTTGATTCCGGTCAAGGGCATGTACCTTAGTTGCGGGCACATCCCCAGTAGGAGGTGTGTAGGAGGCAGCTGATCGATGTTTCTAACTCTCTATCCCTCTCCCTTACTCTCTGTAAAAAAATCAATAAAATATATTTTTTTTAAATTAATAAAACACTTCTAGAGAATGAATACAAACATCCACTGACACGTACACGAATGTCCACCTGTTGCACAGAATTTTTTTGTCCATTTCCACTTACTTAAACTCCTTTGCTAGAGGTTTTCTAAAGCAGAAGACCAGTGTTCCATCAAGGTGAAGTAACTGAAACTAGGTATGGGACCATTTTTAATCTCCACCCCTGGAATACAACACCAAAGATTTAATTCCACGGAGATGCCACTGTGCTAGGGTATCAGGTATTTGGGTTTTTAATCTCTGCTCCAATGGTCTTTTCCTGATACTCAAATATATGGTGATAAATGTTTCCTTAATTTGCACAACAGTTTTCAATTGCCCTCATGGGAGACCACCTTGAAGGAGCGAGTAAAAGGTTTAGTCATGGTTTCTATTTTTCTATTTGAATCAATACACTCTAGTTAAATGGACAATTAATAGGTCACTTCCAAAATAGTAGTGCATCAGTCCTGGTTAATAAACAATCCCCACAGTTGATAATGGGCCCTATGTATTCAGCAAGTCCTGCATGCACTCAGCTCATCCACTAAATCCCCTTTCAGGTGGACAGGGTTATATGGGAAGATGAGCTAGAATGAGTCTATAAAAGTCAGTTTCATTCACTGCTTTATTTTTTCAGTCAAGTGCCTTAAATGGTGTCCCAGAAATTCACTTGGAATGTGAGACAGGAGAAAAGACTGGCACACAGAGCCTGGCTTTATGACCATACAAAAGGGCAACTGACCCTTGCCCAAGCCTTTTCCGTGTGAAATGGTTCCTAAAGTTCATCTGCACAGTGAAAAATCGTGGTGAGGTCGCGTGTGGATGAGTCAAGTGAAAGTGACGATTGGTCACGGGTCTGTCGCCCATTGTGGCTGGGTCCCAGCCATGTGGAGTGCTCTGTGGGAAAGTGTCGGCCCCCTAAAGAGCTGCTCAGAAGCTTGCAGCTCATTAAACGGCCAGCATTTGCTGCCTCACTTGTCAGGAATCATTCTGTTGAGCAAGGCTCTGCTGAAACATTCATAAAACACACGCAGAGAGGCGGCAGGGATCTGAATCCAACCATCATGGATCTCTGACTTGGGCCCGGCTCAACTCTTATTTCACTTTTCACCCGACGGAGGGTGAACCTGCATAAATGTTTACCTTGGGCAGCTGCAATAAACGCACTCCTCCCCTGGACTTCTTTATCATAAACTCGAATTCTCTGCCTCCAGATTCCTATCTAGTTTAGAAATCTAAGACCAACGTGAACTCGACTGACTTTCAGGGAGCCATTTTTCCTTTGCGTGTGTGCACACTCTCTAAGTTTTTGGAAGCTGTCATTCTCGCTCCACCCCTGAAATTGATTGAAATTTTGTAATGTTTGAGGACAAGTTCTCTTGCAAATATGTCCCATGAGGCTGGTTGGCTTTCTTCGAGATCACGAAGAGGAAGAATTTCTTTCTTTTTACAATCTTAACGATTTTAAATTATTTTCTATGGACACCTAGTGGCTTTCTGTGTCACATTTTAAGCTGAATGGAAATTTTGCACAGCACAATTTCTTAGCCTTCCTTTTTTCCTTCTTTAAATGGGTATTGCTACACATTTCAGAATGAGCCAAAGTGGTTCCTCTGAGATCTTTTATATCAATGGAAAACAAGTCTCTTTCCTTGGAGTGTCGGCCCTGGGTTTCAATGCCATTAGAAACTGCTCACAATTGCTCAGTGTGCTGAGGTTTGATAAATCTCTGGGAGCCTCCTGAATAGGATCGCTGTGATTTTTAGTGAGGAATTAGCTCCTTGCCATTGCATTACCAATTGGTTTTCCAGAGCACATTAAATCCTGCTGCTTCGGTTTACAGAATAACTGAGGCATTGCTGATGAGGCATAAAAACTTACTTGGAAAAACAGTGGGGGATGCGGGGCGCCGACAGGACCCACCACAGCAGGCTGAGTAGAATGGCGGGGCAGTCAGGAAAAAAGGCTTGGAAGGCGCTGCAGAGAAAGCATTGATACCACTCATTAGCCATTTCTTTCAGACAATATTCAAAATCCCAGTTTCCCAAAAGTCACTGAGTAAAAGCCCTTCATTTCCTGAACCTTTACTTAGTTATTCCTTTTACTGAATTTAAAGTAGCCCTTATCTGTCAAAGTCCTTGCCAAATAATTTAATCAAGATTTGGAAGATGTGGTGAAAAGACTGGAATGATCAAAGCCAAATGTAACAGTTTATTTCCATGTAGTCCTAACTGTAAGTAGTATATATCAGGCAGAAATATTCCCTTACTTAAATGATCCTAGAGCAACACTATCCAAGAGAACTATCTGTGGTGATGGAAATGTCCTATAGCATCACTGTCCAATATGCACTTGCCACAGAGGGCTACTGAGCACTGGAAATGTAGCTAGTATGCCTGGGAATTCTTCACTAAGTCATGTTAGGTTTAAGTAGGCTCATCTAGCTAGGGGCTATCATATTGAATAGCACTGCTCTAGATATAATACTTGCCAAGAAACAATCTGAATGCTGAGTTTAATTTCTAAAAGAGATTATACTACTTTAACCTACTTTCAGGAAGTTCTATGAAATATGTAGTTGGATTCCAAACTTTATAATAGTTAATTTATAAATAATAAATTACAGAATCTGAGCAATTCTACAACAAAAGTGGGCTTTTTTCTGACCGCTTTTTTTGTGTGTGTTTAAAAGTGTTTGGGAAGAATAATAACATTTTATCACAAGAGAAATCTAGTTAACTTGAAAGCATTCATGTTTATAGAATTGGGAGTTGCTATATAATTCTGTTCTGCTCCTTTTATTAAACTGTGCTGTTCCTAATATATTCAATACATATACACGGGCTAGTTGTCATTATCCTTGTAAATAAAGAAATTTTAAATTCTGTTTCTTAATAGATGAAAAATACCTATAGAGGATGTCACAGACCATTAATAGCTCTTTTTTGCTGAGCACTTACTATATGCCAGCTTTTGGTTAAGTACCTTAAATATAAATGTAAAATGGATGCGATTTCCTGAAGGTGGGAAATTTCCTTTTACTAGGGCACTTCCAGCAGAATACCTGGCACACTCTAAAGAGTCAATACATTTTCATTAACTGAATAAATGATCTGCAAATCTAAGAAATTGGAAACTTCCTAACAACTTACATAAAAAATGAGAATCAGATGCACCCCTATGTTCCTAGCAGCACAATTTACAATAGCTAAGATTTGGAAATAGCCTAAGTGCCCATCAGCAGATGAGTGGATTAAAAAACTGTGGTACATCTACACAATGGAATACTATGCTGTTGTAAAATAGAAAGAACTCTCTTACTATTTGCAACAGCATGGATGGATCTGGAGAGCAGTATGTTAAGCAAAATAAGCCAGTTGGAGAAAGATAAATATCACATGATCTCACTCGTTTGTGGAATATGATGAACAACATAGACAGATGAACAAAAATGGATCCAGAGACAGAGAAGCACTGAATGGACTGTCAAATCTCAGAGAGAAGGCAGGGGAGGGTGGAGGAAGGGGTGTAACAGATCAACCAAAGGACTTGTATGCATGCATATTAGCATAACCAATGGACATGGACACTGGGATGTTGGGGCTTTAAAAAAAGGGGATCAGGAATTGACCCCATCCCTGTTCCCCTGACACTACCTGAAATACAGTATCTTCTATAACAGATGACCTTGAAATCTAACACATGACTTCAAAATAAATGTTTTTATTAGTCTCCCTTCATACCCAATGGCACCTGAACTGCATCCAGCACGGCCAGTGGTGAACCTGAGGAGGGGCAGTGAAGGATTAAAGAAGACAGGCAAAAGAATACAGTTGGGGCCAGCTGGGACACTGGAAATGTTCTCAGATGGAGAGACAGTGCCCCAGCCTGTAAGCCAAGTCTTTATTTTATAGTCAGATCCCAGGAAGCAAAGCAAGGGTGTGGTCAAGATGTTTCCATGGTTCTCCTGAGTTTCGAATCTACTTAATTACATGCATCTGAGAACTCTATCAATCTTTGTTTTGGCAGCATTTGCTGCACCTCCCACAGCCCACATCACTCAGCCACCTGGAACCACAGGTTTGGACCATAAGGTCAAGCTTACAACCATAGCCTTTGGCTATAATTGTGCTGGGAGGGCTTTGTCCTCCAAGCTGGGACTTGTACATGGCTTTGCCACAAGAGGACCATGCCCTCTTATTAGTCCGAGGCTTGAACCTGTCCAAACACTGTAGCTGCTCTCCACAGGCACCTCTTTTCTCAATTATAGTAAAAATTATTTTGATACAAATGCATACCTTCTTTTAGAACACAGTAATTTCAGACTTGTATTTTAATCAATTGATGAGTATGTGTTTATTTTCACCAATGCATTTGAAGGATATCTATATATATAAAAGGCTAATATGCTAAGTGTCTGACCATCCAACCGGTCATTATGATGTGCACTGACCACCAGGGGGCAGATACTCAATGCAGGAGTTGCTGTGACGCACACTGGCCATTTATAGAGAAACAGCCCCGTGGACCTGGCACCAACAAAGCAACAGCCCACCAAATCGCAGCCAACACTGCCAAGACCCCATGGTACAAAATGCAGGCCACAGCCCAGCCCAGTCCAGACACAGT